GAATTCTTTTTTTCTATTAATTTGTTTCTCAAAAAAAATCTCTTAATGTTTCCACTATGCAACTCTTTTTTTTATTAAATAAATAAAAAGGAAAAAAAGAAAATTAATGCACCCTTGTTTAATGCAGTGCTTCCATCTTTCCATTATTTCCGTAACATTATTTTGACATTTGCTTGATATTTCTCTTAAGAATAAAAATTTACATCTTACAAATGAGATGTTGACTTTTTTTCGTCACATAATTTGAACATTTGTCTGACATTTCTCTCAGAATAAAAAAATACATCTTACAAATGATTAAAATTATTGACTTTTTCCATGGAATTGAGTGTTTTGCCACTGTCTCAGTGTAAGTTTGCATGTTGCGATTTAGATTTCTTACAACATTCTGCATTTACACCATGCAATTCTGACTTTTCTGGAAATGAATAAGAAAAAGGAGAACAAATACACTTTTGTTTTATTCACTCTCAGTGTTCGATTGTCTTTACATTTTTCATATTTGACATCTCTTAAAATTCATAATTTAAATCTTACAAATCAGATTTGTCTTGAGTTTAAATCTCAGAATTTTGCTTTTTTTTTTAGAGGAATTCAATCTTTGAATTGTTTAATTTTTTTATCACTTCTCCCAGTTCAAATCTTCCTGTTGCAATTGTAATTTCTTCTGACAATTTTCTCAAAACATCGAGTTTAAATCTTGCACTTCAGGCTTTACTTAATAAATAAAAAATTAAATTAATTAAATAAAAAATTTAAAAAAGGAAATAAACGCATCCTTGTTTAATGCATTCCTTCCGTCTTTACATTTTTCTTCACATAATTTGGACATTGGCTTGACATTTCTCTAAGAATAAAGAATTAATCTTCCAAGAGAAATGTCAACATAATTTATAAGTTTACCTATTGAAATTCTGACTTTTCTTGGAATAAATAAGAAAAACAGAATAAACATGCGCCTGTTTCATGTATTGTCATAATGTTTACATTTTTTTCATGACATAAAAAATTACATCTTACAAATCATTAAAATTATGAACGTTTTCCTTGGAGTTTAATGTTTTGCCACTGTCTCAGGGTAGGTTTGCATGATGCAATTTAGATTTCTTACAAAATTCTGAATTTACAGCATGCAGTTCTGACTTTTCTTGAAATAAATCAGAGAAATAATAATGCCTGATTTCCTTCTCTCTGTGTGTATTGGTGTACTTGTGACTGCAGTTTGGCACTGATTGGGGAGATGTTTGGTTCAGAAGAGCTGTGAGAGAAACTCTGGAGCCCAGTCCAGCGCGGTCTGAGCCACCGCCAGCGCCGCTGCCCCCAGCGTGGCCGACAGACCCCACACAGCCATCTTGATCAGCTGGTTTGTGCCTGTAGGCTGAGGCATCATGGGAAGGGCGAGCTGGTTTTCCTGGCGATTCTGAATCTGCTGTCGGAGGACGGAGTCGGGACGCTGTGTCCGTGTGGACGTCTGGAAGTCTGTGAAGGTGCTGATGGCCAGTCTGAAACACACCAGAGACTGAAGTTTAGCACGCTTAAATTATTTAGGATAATTTGTTTTTATTTTATTAGTTTTAAAGTGGGTTTGTGAGCCTTAAAATCTTTATTATAATGTCATGAATATGAATGAGATTTTATGCATAGCTATATTGTTCTTTACCTCCATCTGTCTCTTTTATTTATTGATTTTTAATGATTATTATTTTTATTATTATATGTTGCTCTTAAGGTCAACGCAGTGGCGCAGTAGGTAGTGCTGTCGCCTCACAGCAAGAAGGACGCTGTGTCGAACCTCAGCTCAGTTAGCGTTTCTGTGTGGAGTTAGCATGTTCTCCCTGCGTTCGTGTGGGTTTCCTCCGGGTGCTCCGGTTTCCCCCACAGTCCAAAGACATGCGTTACAGGTGAATTGGGTAAATTGTCCTTAGTGTATGAGTGTGTGTGTGGATGTTTCCCAGAGATGGGTTGCAGCTGGAAAGGCATCCGCTGCTTAAAAACTTGCTGGATAAGTTGGCGGTTCATTCCGCTGTGGCAACCCCGGATTAATAAAGGGACTAAGCCGACAAGAAAATTAATTTTAAGTAAAACTATTTAGGATCGTAGTATTTTACTATATTAGTTTGGTAGGGCTTTATTTTCTTTGTAAGACTTTCTTATAATCTTTCATTAAGTCTCATTTGCACATTTACGTTTTTTATTTTTTATTTTAATTTAAATTTGGAATTTATTGAATGGGATAGCGCCTTGAGATGAATCATCTAATTTTCGAGGGCGTCCCTAAAAGTTCACAAATCAAACAGAGTACAAAACATCATAAAGTACATACACTTGACAAGACAAACAAACAAGCAGCACACTCCTTCTGAAACACTTCCCGTAATCCGAAGCCTAAATAAGCAACAACATATAACCAAAAGTACAAACAATTTGATGTGCAAATAAATAATAAACATTTAATTTAATTTGGAGCCAAATTTAATAACATTCGCAAGTTGTTTCCAGAAGAGAAAATAAATTAGCCCTAAAAAGACGAAGTGATTTAATCGATCTAAAAAAGGAAGGGAGATTGTTCCAGTCGAAAGGAGCTTTGCATCGAAAGGACCTACGGCCACTTTGTGTAGAAATTCTGGGAACCGAAAAATAATTCTGTTGCACATGACAAAGCGAATATGATGATGTAAATGAACAAAAAACTGCGTTAAATAAGAAGGTAAATTAAAGTAAACACATTAAAAAAGAAACAAATACCAATGATACTGTCTGCGGACCTTAGGTTGAAGCAAACCAAGTGTTTCGTATAATATTCAATGATGGGTTCTATAAGGACATCTTAAAACAAATCGACACAAGAGAATTGAAGACAGCATTTAAAGGTTTTAAATTAATATCAGAGGTATTGTTATAGATAACATCAGCATAATCAATGATAGAAAAGATTAATTGAGAGATCAATTTTTTTATTTATTTATATCTATTTATTTTTCTATTCTATTTATGTCAATTTAAATGCAAAAACGACATTATTTGAGATATTTTTGTCATGATAACGAGACAAGCAAATGCATCATAGCCTGCCTTTGTCATTTACAGTCATCTAAAATAAATAAAACCAGCTAATCATTTGCAACAGCCACCTTTATTTATTTCTATGACGGTACATTTTTAAAACACTGCAACTAATATTAATGTAAGATGAGATTGCAAATTTTTAAATGAAACTTAAGCACGTTTAATATTGAAATGTTTTATTTTTAAACTTCCAAGTGAACAGATGGAAATAACATGCATTAATAAATAAATAAATAAATAAATAAATAAATAAATAAATAAATGCAAAATAAAATTAACAAAAAAATAAAAATAAATCAGCAAAGCTGGACTGTGCACCAGTGACATTTCACAACAGAAACCAACTGACCAAAAAAAGAGGACACATTATAGACGCCCGGTTAGTGAACATCAAGCGGCTGAATCATAAGAATGAACTAAAATGAAGTGGACGAGCGCCAGAAAAATGGCCTCCAGTCCCGACCGGATGCTCATTTCCAGAGTTTTCCAGGCTGAGGGCTACACTCTCGACACTTTAGAGGAAAAACATCATTAAAAAATCATAAAATATTCAATTCCATTTCATTACGGTCTCCGTGGAAGAATAGTAAACATGAAATGCAAATGCCTTTCACTGGAGATAATAAAAAGTGCCAGAAATGCGTTGAAGATTTAATGAAAAAAAGTGGCTGGTGGTAGCAGAAACACCACAGGCTGGTGCTGACGGGCTCAACGTCTTTAAGTCGTCATGCTTTTTTTTTTTCCTGCCCCTGATTCTCAGTTTGCCCAGTTCTCATTAGTATCTGCAGTTAATGCTGAAAATAGCTGACAGGTAACAGCAGAGCAATTAACTTTTAAACTCGGCTTTTACCAGCGCAGACCCGCGAGAGCCCGTCTAAAGCGGCGACAGAAATCCGTCGCTCACATCACACTACGCTGTGTTTTTCATTCACAGGATGTTTTTATACTGGGTTAAGTGGGAAATGATGGCTAACCGGTTTATTAAATTTGGCTAAAGCATAAAACAAACCCCCCACACTGCAAAAAATATATGTTATATCTGTTTATTAACATTTGTGAATTGCATTACGGGATGTTAATGTCTGCTCTGTCGTCTTATGATGTTAAAAAATTCAGTCAACAGTTTAACGTTTAACAGTTTAATAAAGGGACTAAGCCGAAAAGAAAATAAATGAATGAATATTAAAGATATTAAAATAACAAAATCTCCACAGTCCACACATCCTCATCTTCATCCGCTTTCTTCATCACTAATCACACACACACATTTTAGAGCATACAATGCATGCAAATTAATTGCAATATATTTTTACTATCGCTGGGCAAAGATTAATTGTTTGCAAAAATATGTTTTTGACGTGTGTGTGTGTGTGTGTGTGTTTGTGTAATATTTAGTGATGTCAAACGATTAATCGCATTCAAAATAAAAGTTTGTATTTACATATAATTTGTGTACACTAACTGGCCACTTTATTAGGTACACCTTACTAGTATCGGGTTGCACCCCCCTTTTTGCCTTCAAATCTGCCTTAATCCTTCATGTCGTAGATTCAACAAGGTACTGAAAATATTCCTCAGAGATTTTGCTCCATATTGACATGATAGCATCACACAGTTGCTGCAGTTTGTCGGCTGCACATCCATGATGACAATCTAAAACGTTTGTGAATTGCATTACGGGATGTTAATGTCTGCTCTGTCCTCTTTTGATGTTAAAAATTTCAGTCAACAGTTTAACCTTTAATAAAGGGACTAAGCCGAAAATAAAATGAATGAATGAATATTAAAGATATTAAAATAACAAACGTGCAAAGGCCTGTAGTGATCGCAGCATGCACAACAATATTTCCTAGTTGCATTGCGCCAGATTTTGACGTCACATGTGCCCAACACACTTGACTCTTTCTGTGCGTGTGCATGGAAAACAACTGCTTGATTGTTTCCTCACACAAAGCATCAAAAGACTTGCATATGGTGCTTTTCACAGGCATAAGAACTGCGAACTGCTGTTGTACTGCAAGAACTGGGTGAACACTCTTCAAAGATCTGCACACAAAGACAGAGAGGTTTAAAGGACACGAGGGCGAGTAAATAATGACAGATTCATCTTATTTTTTAGCACGAACCGTCCTTTATATCTTTGCGTGATCGGCTCTGTGGGAAATCTTTTATTTGTATGTCTTTTTCCTCAACTTCTCTCTTCAAGGTGGCACACGCCTGACGTCTCTGATCGCTTTTCTCTCTCATCTCTAAAACAGTTTCTAATTTTACCGTTTCGTCTCTGAGAAGCAGCAGATTGTGTGACCTCTGTCACATCCTTCTTCTGTTGTTTCCCTCGCTCTTTTCCTCAGCTCAATCTGTTCTCGCTGCGGTGAAGAAGATAGAGCAGATGATGGATGTGTTTACACTGGAGGAGCATCTCCACAGTCCACACATCCTCATCTTCATCCGCTTTCTTCATCACTAATCACACACACACACATTTTAGAGCATAAAATGCATGCAAATTAATTGCAACATATTTTTACTATTGCTGGGCAAAGATTAATTGTGATTTATTGCTTGCAGAAATATGTTTTTGACACATATATATATATATATATATATATATATATATATATATATATATATATATATATATTGTGTTATATTTAGCAATGTCAAACAATTAATCGGATTCAAAATAGTTTGTATTTACATATAATTTATGTATACACTAACTGGCCATTTTATTAGGCACACCTTCTAGTACCGGGTTGGACCCCTTTTGCCTTCAGAACTGCATTAATCCTCCGTGGCGTAAATTCAACAAGGTACTGGAAATATTCCTCAGAGATTTTGCTCCATACTGACATGATAGCATCACACAGTTGCTGCAGATTTGTCGGATGCACATCCACGATGTGAATCTCCTGTTCCACCACATACCAAAGGTGCTCTATTGGATTGAGCTCTGGTGATTGTGGAGGCCTTTGTGCAGTGTACAGTGAACTCGTTGACGCCAAAGTCTGACCCTACCACATTCAAAGTCACTTAAATCCCCTTTCTTTACCATTTTGATGCCCGATTTGAACTGCAGCAGATCATCTTGACCATGTCGACATGCCTAAATGCATTGAGCTGCTGCCTTGTGATTGGCTGATTAGAAATTTGCGTTAACGAGCAGTTGGACAGGTGTACCTAATAAAGTGGCCAGTGAGTGTGTGTATGTACATGTACATACATACATACATACATACATACACGTATTTAAATTGAACGTTATTTTATTTAGCAACAATACAATTATTCACAATATAATTTCACAATATTACTGGTTTAAGCGTATGTGAAATAAACTTAATAGTCTTGGTTCAAATGAAACGTCATATTTCAAAAAACTAACAAAATACCGAACCTTTAAACGTCGCAAGTTAATGTAATTAATTAATGCAAA